CAGAAATATTAATGGGCAAAGCTAAGGGTAGGAGGGCCAGGGTGAAGGCAGAGACTAGGATGGATGAATGACAATAAAAACTGGGTTCCCAGTGAGATACGAAACCTTGGAGGATTGGTAAAAACAGCCCGAGAACGTTTAGAGTGGAGGACTGTGGTCGCCAACCCTCAGATACGAGGAAGGTACTCTGATTGATTGAAATAACCTGTACAATTGTACTACCTCACACCAAAAGTTGTTACTGTGTCTTTATATTAATAAAATTCCTTACAACATGGTCTGTGTTACGTTGTTAGTGTTACGAACTCGGGTATAACAATGCGTATACTACAGTCAGTCGACATGATATATTAATTAATTTTTTAGTGTGCAAGTGTAAGTCAGAGTATTACCAAGTACGATTGAAAGAAGACAGTTGTAATCAAATGTAAAGATGTCCTAACATAAGCAGGGTTGAATACCATAAGGATAAGTAAGTAAACGTTAATATGTTTAATTATTAGTACAAGCGTAAATTCGTTTCGGTACGTTAATGTGAGAATAATTACACTGAAGTATATTCCTCCCTGGGGAAATCAAGATGTGAGGTTACAAAGCCAGGAGTGTATGTAATAGCGTCACTTGTCTTCTAGATTTAATACTGATTGTTTTTACATATGACTGACGCACTGAACGCAGGCCTGAAATCGTTGTTCAGAAAAGACACAAGTAATTTAGTGGTTGTAAGTAGGTGTAAGCACACCGCAGTCATCACGAGGAAAGTTTCCGAGGAAGTGGAAACGAAGTTATAGAAGTTGTGTGAGTGATGACTTTGCCGGCCACTACCAACACTGCCTGACTGCCACCACTGCCTCCTTCCTCCATCATCTTCCTTCACGCCAGGGTTGGGGGAGGGGAAGAACCAGGGCCCATGGCCAAGGACTAGCTATCGATGAACACAGGGTTAGCTGGGGAGGGTTGGCATCGGGGACTAGGGTCAGCTAGGGAGGGTAGGCATCAGGAACTAGAGCCAGCTGAGGAGGGACTGGCCGGGGAAGCAGTAGTCGCAAACCGCAGAGGTGAAGATTTGTCAAAGGATAGAGAAGTAGTAAGCACTAAATGCTGGTCAAGGTGGGTCAGCTGACAAGAGCCCAGGGGGAGAGTTAAGCAAAAAAAATGGCAAGCAGGGCTTGAGGCAGACACACGGAGGAAGGAGGGGAGGGGTGTGGGTGGAAGCACAAAAACAGAGTGCTGGAGGAGGAGGCAGATGAGAGGGATAAGAGTCTCACTCACCGACGTCTCCCACACTCCCCCTCTCTTCACTCTCGTATCCCATTTATTACTATTATTTGCATTTTTTCTAAGTCCTTTCCCAATTCAGTGTATTTTTAAGTATACAATTTACAAATCCCATTTTTATAGTATTTGATATACCAAATAAATGATTACAATATCTGATAACATACAGGTAGAACGCACCTAGTTATACACGAGGGCCACTAAATCAGTACAGTTTGCTGATAAGTACAAACAAACTTTTCATAATGTAACCATTCAGCTGTTGATACTTCAAGTGGTAATACTACATCACTTGGGGAGGACGTACAAATACTCAGATTGTATCTTAATTTGATAAATGTATACGGCGGAGAGAAAAACGTTGAAGTCGGGATGTTTGGATCCCAAGCACCCATGAAATTCGAGTGCCTGATGGTGTCGCCAGCTGGTAGGTCTGACCACCTCGTTTTCTTTCTCATTGGAGGTTGCATCATGCTGGGTAACTCGACTAAAGACCAGTCTAATTAACTAACAATAAATGTGCTTTTCTTGAAGAGCGTTGATGATTTACATAAAATTATATTTATGATTTGGGATTTAATATCTTTCCATATTCACAAGAAGGGTAGTATTAATATATAATTTCAATGTAAGCCTTCTGTAAAATGAACGAATTCTAGGAATATACAATTAATGGGTATTTATTGAGAAAAGTCATCATAGGAGTTAACATTTGTTGAACGTGGGCAGTTAGTTGCCTCCATTTATAACAGGTACAGTGGCCTGACGTTTTATGAGATGTGGCACCACTGTTTGTTTATATCGCAGTAAAACTGGCAGAGTGGGCAGAACTACCCTCCCTATTGTAACCAAACCGAGGATGTTAAACAAGCAGTCCCTCCCCTAATCTGCGAATTCTTACATTTCCTGCATGGTTGTAGTTTTAATAAAGATTACCAAGTAGAACGTCGTTGGCTCCTATCTGTTGTCTGGTGGTGCCACATCTCACTTAACACGTCAGCCACTGTACCCGTTACAAATGGAGGCAACTGTACATAAAGTGTGTAGTGATTACCAAGAGTACTCGAACTAACCAAAGAGACCTGAAGAAAACCAACAAGAGATATTTTAAGTGTGTAATACTGATTAGGATTTTTTTTTTCTGGGGCTTCCATCTTCAACATATCCTTAATTGAGTCACGGTTTTGTGCTCCGTTGATTGAGACTTTGCAACAATGATTATTTGACAGATCACGATTTGTTATATTTTTGTAACTTGTAATTGTTTGACGATAAATATTATACGTCGTGTCACAGAACAGCTGGCTTGTATCCTTTCCGTTCTCTTGGGTGACACTGTCCTGCAAATCTTCATCGTGTTAAGTTATGAGAAAGAGGAAGAAAAAGAGTTTATGCTACATTTCACCCCACAAGAGCCTGTGTGTGTTGGAGAAGGCTCACGGACACATGTAAAACAGTATGCTCATCCTGGTTCAAAAAGAGCCCTTGAAACTTATTTCAGACAATTATCTCTTAAACTTTAACTTAAGTACCGCAACTTCTCCAGACATGGCCAAGTGTGTCGGCTCTGATAAACACACTATCAACAATTTGCATTAACGCGATACCACCAACCGGTTGTCCGGTTCTCGTACCCTGGACACTTAAGTTGCCAGTCCAAGTTTTCGGCAGCATGAAATCATGGTGGACGCCCGTCATATTTCTCTGACCCGCCACTATCGTGGCCATGAATATGTAATGATGCTCGCCTCATCTTGAAGATAGAATCAGGCATGACGGAGGTTGGATTAACAGGGCTCAGGCGTCAGGCTCGACTAGCTGGCCAGGCTGTGCACATTCATGTACAAGAGTGCGTGTGTAATATATATATATATATATATATATATATATATATATATATATATATATATATATATATATATATATATATATATATATATATACTATGGATGGTGTATGTACAAGTTCTTTTACACATATAGATGTAAACTCGAGGCCAACAAACACGCTTACAATACTTTAACTACATTCCAAAATACACACACACACACAATAGGTTTGACCAGTATGTGTGTGTTAATATTTTCAGTGGGTAAACAGACACCGCAGTACATAATAAATCAGTTACTAGATTTAACTTATTCCTTTCAGTTTTGACCTTGATATCTGACACAAACTTGAATTCCGTGTTCTGCTCCTCGACTAGTAATGATACATACACGTGGTCACCATAATATGTAAGTACAAAAGGAAAAGGACAAGCTTAAGTTTGTGGACACCCAGATGGCCGAGCAGACCCGTACTATACAGTAGTATTTCTTTTCAAACCTGACTTATGAAAAGTTGTCACAAACAACTTTTGCCTTCTCTCGGCAGGACTCTAGTAGTGAACCAGCCAGCAGCACAACAAACAAAAAATCATCTGAAATAACAATAATAAAGCACGTCAAAGTAAATTGTAAAGTGTTGGCGTTTAATGGGAACCCGTAAAACGTTCAACGAACACAGCATAGTACCTCCCTCACTAGTCGCCATCATCAATCGCGCCATATTTGTACTCCATCAAGAAGTCCATTAGAGGATGAAAGCTTCCACTTACCTACCTACCCAGCCGCTTTTACTGCCCTTTGCCCTTCGAAAGCACCCCCTTGAACCTCTCCACAGTACTGATACAGTCGCTGATACTGTCATTAGTCGTTACTGTGCCCTTCTACGTCATCTCCATATACTCGTGTCCAAGAGGTTGGTTGTTGTGTAGCGAACAGTTTGAATGATTAGTTAAGTGGATTGCCATCACCACTTTAGAGCAACGTCTGAGCTCGTTAATAGCAACTTGAGAAACAGTTACTCAACCCTTCTTTATTTTCGTGCTAGCACGACTCAACACATGCACAAGATATTTTGGAGTCAAGCGCTCCGTCGTATCCATGGCCTATCATTTATATGAATATCTCTTGAATGGATGGTTAGATTTAATAGATTTTCTTGAAGACTGGTAGGCCCACCCTAACCAAGGGATTATTATAACCAGGGGAAGGAGAGCGTTCCATCCAGTACATGCATTCGACTTCACGAAAGCATACACGCTATCTGTTTTTCTTCTTCAAGTTAAATTTATATTTAAGGAATTTTCTTTTCCTTCAAAATTAGAAACCATGTGGCTTCCACAATGAGCGCAAAGATTAACCACCATGATGTAGTAATCACCATTCTGTTGAGATAATTTTAACGTGAAATTTCTTGACTGTTAAGCCGACTGAAACCACTTACTATGAGCTAAACGCAAATGTTAACCGAAAGAATAACCATAGTCTAAAAGTCTTCGGTGACATTGGAGTCTTTTAATCGGATCTCGTAGTTGTCACCAAGATACATATACTTGTTAAGTTTCGAGACTGGACAGTCAATATCAGTGCAAAAATTACGTCGCTCCTACTGACCGTACAGTATGACGACGGTAATATGTGTGTTTTCCACATTGAGGCAAGGCATAAAAACGTATAGTGTTTATAGGGTGTCCCAGAAAAATGTCCCTGTCTCCCTTCCTCCTTGCCTGCTCCCTGAGACACTGAGTTGGAGGGAGGCAGGGAGCAGACATGGAGTGAGAGGGACAGGGACATTTTTCTGGGACACCCTGTAGGCATACGACCAGCGTAGCACTGATGATTCTAATGACAAATTCTTCGTCAACCTTGTTCTAATTTTGCATCTCCATGTTACAGACCCAACGTATGCGGCTCCCGTCACCGGAGTTTCTGCTGTCCGGGCTGGCAACAGAAGCCTGGCAACAACCTTTGTATTATACGTGAGTATTCCAATATGGTTTTATATTGTGTACTTCCATGTCATTTAAGTTATTAGTGATCTGTGTTAACCTTTAAACTGTCCATAGTTGGTTTTGATAGTTCTTTTAGGTAAATCACAATACAGTACTTATCTTTAATTTAACTAAACAGTATTTAATGTTTTATGTGAATGCTTCGCACAAGTCAAAACCGACATTTACGTCGTATACTAAAGAGAAGTGTAGCATTTTTATATCTCTTGCAACTGTTTGTGTATCATTTTTGTGTAAGCTGCATATCAGGCTACCAAACATCAAGTGTTTTGTTCTGTGTTGACGAAAATTGACACCGTGGTGAGAGCTGCCAACGCTGGCCTTGGTGAATGTCAGCAGGTTACCATGGCCACAACCAACACAAAGTCTGATATAATACTCCATTGTAAGAAGTTTGGATGATTAATGACATAGTAAGCTGATAAATTTAAAGCACTGCCAACCGATGAGCTTAGTAATTGTTTATTTCAAACCACGTCACTAAAATATAAGTTAAATGAAGTGCTACAGTTTGCTAAAAATAGCGATGTGACAGTCTGGGAACACTGTTCTCACCAGTATTTCAGTATATTATTATGACAACTTAAAGATTTACTACAACAAACGTAACATCTATAAAGTTGAACAACTGCTCTTGAAATTCCAACCCTGGTTTCCTTCTTTGCTAGGGAGGGGAACCAAAGAAACAGGATAAATATGACATATAACTTGTAAAATATGCAAGATTCCATGCCAACTCTTGCTCTCTTTTCCGGTGGTTGAGTACTTAACAGCAGGCTTGGCTGTGCTGTTAGTGTATAAAGAAACACCGAATAAATTGTATTTCTCTTGATGAATACATCCATTATGTAACAAAAGTTGACATCATGTTCTACAGTATATACAGAATTACCGTTACATACTGACAAACGTTAAGGTAATTATAGTATCCAGTGAATCTTTCTGAAGGCAAGTTTGTTTATGTAACATTTGAAGAAGCGACCATGGTGATTGTAGAATATCGAATTTGTGAAACATGAACGAAAATGTTATAAAGTAAATTCCACAGGTGTTGTAGTCAAGCATGTTAACAGTGGAAGGCTTATAAACTTCTCAGATAAAATGACGTTTCTAAAACTTAATTTTCTTCCATTGTGTCCACCATATTGCAAAATGGTGGTAAATGGTGGCCATTTTTCATCTGTAAATATCAGAAATCATATCTGTATAATAAAAAAAATCCCTGGAAATCGGACGGCTCTAACCTCCTTTTATAACAAGAAATAAATCGATCCCCACAAATTGGTCGCCATTTTGAAAAATAAAATGGTGTCAGTTTAAATTTAACTTATTGGCAAAGTGTCATCATGGGTTTTATGTTATTTCAGACAAATTTAGCATTTTTGAATACGTGACACAATTTCCCCATTAAAATCCCACAGGACTTTACATCACGACACAGGCTCCTGCACCATTGGCCAAAATTCAGTTCATATGCAAAAAATACCATACCAAAATTCAGCTCTATGTTAAAAACTGGTCGGGCTCAGGGGTTCACTTTTGGTTGGGGGCTTGGCTACTTGAGGGCTGACACCCCCCCTCCCCCACCCTCCTCCTAATTCAGATGTGTTTTTAATGAGGGGGTGCTTGTATTTGGGGTTGGGGCCGACCACTAGGGTTAAATCTTCAAAATTCCACTTCAGGGACACTTCTAGGGAGGATGGCATCTTCAGGCCAAATTTCAGCTCTTATCTTCAAAATTGTAACCATAGATAATGAGCACACACACACAGTCTGTTTTTCCGTTTGCCATATGTTCGTCCTTGGAAAGCAGCTTCGATGCTAAACTTTCGATATGCTAGATTATGAAATGGCAATTTGATATTTAGTATACTTTCTCAAGTCAAGTGAAGATTCTAAATTGCTGTATATTCTACTTCACTGGTGCATAAACCATTTGCCAGAAGCATGTACAATGGCATCCTTCATTGTCATTCATGGACTAGTAGTTTTCAGTGTTATCATTGGCCAGCATAACCTTACAACCCACTACCTCGCTCGTCCCGTGGCTATCACCTATACAACATCCAGACCCCGGTGTCACTGCCATTGTTTTGTATAGTACTGAGGATGCCAAGACACGCACTGATACGTGAGATGGAGTACGTGAATGGGTGATGACTTGCCAACCGCCACCCAGCCGCACTTAAACCTTCTTTCACCTACCTACTTCATACAACTCATGCTTGCCACCCCGCTACATGTACTTTGTATGTTATTGATAATTTCAAAGTCAATCTCAAACTGATATGATAGAGTGAAATTAGAATCATAAATAGTTGTCAATAATAATACACGAAATGCCAGACGCCCGGCAACCCCATCCGATACAAGGCTATACACAACCCACCATAATTTTGGCTTGCAGTGTGTGGCTTATAAGGCAAAATTGTAGAGGGTGGCCAGAGATTATGCGCTGCCCCTCTCCTTTAGCATACCAGCATGGGCAGGGGAGACTGCACGCTTGTTTTGCATCCTCAGTGACCGCATCAGTGTATGTGTGTGTGTGTGTGTGTGTGTGTGTGTATGCGCAGTTTTAGCAATTTTTTCTCACGCATCCACTATGTCCGATTAGGAGGTGGGTGTACGAAATGACTAAAATTCTCAAGCTGAAAATGTACGAGTAATTTTGCAGTTTAGAAACACCGACAACTGTACGTCATTTTTAGCCTTTCTAAACTGGCGTTTATTTTACTCTCTTTCCTCAATTAAACTCATAAACTTCATTCATTGATACATATCAGGGATTTTATGCATTCTCTTTGTGATTCTTCGCTCATTTTTTGTTGTTGTCCAAATCAAGACTTGTTATCGTTTCTGACTGGTCGTGTTTGTGGTTGGCCTGTCTTCTTAGCTGTTATTATTTTAGTGTTATTGTGTTTACTCTCTTCATGCTTATTATTTTGTTAAAAAAAAGTGCGTGTGGGAGGTGGAAGGCGTCTTCATGGCTACTCTCTTCTTGTGTGCCTGACTTTGCATTTACCTGTATTCGCTTTTTGCATGTCGGTATTCATGAATTTATGTTTGTGCTTTATTGTTTTGATCTCGGTACCTCCCTAGACTTTTCCAGGCCTTATAATTGTTCTTGTTAACGTCGCTTGAATGTTTTAAGGCCTTGGAATATATAATTAGTTAAACTTTCCTCCCAAACCAGAAAACTCACTGAAAAAATATAATCTATTAATTATATCGCAAAGCTTCGTTTCCATTGGACAGTCGTAGGAACACATATACGAACGAATGCTTACAAGGATGGTTAAGAATTGGTGTTTGGTTGCGTTAAACCACAGAAATACATAATTATTACAGCTTTAAGGTTCGTTCTGTATCACATAATATATAAAACTTACTTAGATATTTTATATAGAAGTAATTGAAAATGAAAATTTACAGTGAATTTGTAAACTGTTCTTTAATTCGGAGAGGAATGTTTTAAGAATGTCATTTGAAAATATCTTTTAAATATTGTTTTAGTGTTAACATTATTTTGTTTTATTATTATTATTACTTTTATTGTTGTTTTTCGTGTGGTGTTTTGTCTATTACTGTCGTTTTTACCAGATTTTCTTTCAAGTTCAAACGAAATCAACATTGTAATTAACTATTTGTTCGAAGACTTATTATTATTATTATTATTATTATTATTATTGAATTTATCATAAAGTTTTAAGTGCCAGTGTTGACAGCATATGCATACAATATATGAATTTATATGTGCATTGTACGAAAATTTTAGAATTTCTTAAATATACAAACACAAGGGTAAACATTAAAATTAATTTATAAATATTTAAAAAAAATTTTTGTAATCATGACCGTTGTATATTTCCCATACTTTTTTCTTCGTTTTTAAGTGTTTTTTTAGATACTGTAATAATATTCTTTTATTAACAGCACCGGTTAAGATACCCGACGTTGTTGGCCAAAATATTCCAGCGAGTGTATCCTACCGTACCCACCCCAAGTCGTGAGGGCACCACATGTACCTTACAAATTTATAGCAAGTCGGGTTATTATTTGGACGGTATCTCAGGGTGGCCAGACTCGAGAAATGTTGAGAAAAGGAATAAACTTCAGTCTTTCCCCCGAGAAATTTAAAATAAGGGGTTTGATGCTTACTGCTCTCTGAAAACTGATTTTGAAAAAGAAATCCAGGACAGAAAATTCACGAATTGATGTCTGTCAATGTGTGTTTAGTGTGTACCTGCATAGGACAATACAGCACTGTACTATTGCTGTGTGAAGTACAGTACAGTATGTGTCACGACATCCTGACTATTTTTCCTTTAACTTTTTAAAAATCTTCTTGCATTATATAATCGAATCTTTTGGTTGAATTACCGTGAAATTCATCACAGTATACAGTACATTACTTTTCAAAGAAGAGATAAGAATATCCAGCGAAGCGTTGTCGTGTTAATACAATTTCTCTCGTAATTTTACTTAGATACGGACGTATGACTTTTCCTTGGTGAGGATGCAATATATATATATTTTTAATTACAACTAAATAAAAGCTTCGAAAAAATAAGTACTGTACGATAAACAGGTACAGTACCCATAAAATTAAATCACGGAAAATACCAGTACTAGGCACCGTCTTTTCCAATCGAGTGCAATCTGTATTTCGTGAAGAACCTCACAAATATGAAAATATGCCAGACAAAATGGAATGAAAAAGACTACGTCCAATAACTTGTGAGCGTTGTGTGTATTATATATATATATATATATATATATATATATATATATATATATATATATATATATATATATATATATATATATATATATATATATATATATATGTGTGTGTGTGTGTGTGTGTTTGTGTTTGTGTGTGTGTGTTGCTTCACTCTCTTTTACAGGCACTTTAACGGCAATGTTCGGTAGATTTGGTATCCTGTGTACCGCCGGCAAGGCAATGG